CCCTGACACCCCCTGGGGAGGGCCCCTCTCAGGCTCTGCTCTGGAGGATGAACAGCCCCAGCTCCCTCAGCCTTTGCTGCTCCCAGAGCTGCTCCATCCCTTGGGCATCTCCGCAGCCTGCGCTGGCCCCGCTGCAGGAGCTCCCTGGCCCTGCTGTGCTGAGGAGCCCGAGCTGGGCCCAGCCCTGCAGATGTGCCTGCCCAGGGCTGGGCAGAGGGGCAGGATCCCCTCCCTGTCCTGCTCCAATGCTCTTCCTGATGCCCCCAGGGCACCATTGCCCTCCTTGTCCCCAGGACACACGGCTGGGCAGGGACAGCTCGTTGTCCACCAGGACCCCCAGGGCCTTCTCCCAGAGCTGCTCTCCAGCAGGTCACCCCCAGCCTGGGCTGGTGCCTGGGGTTGTTCCTCCCCAGGTGCAGGACCTGCGTTTGCCTTTGTTGAACTTCCAACAGTTCTTCTCTGCCCTTCTTTCCCACCCTCAGGGCCCCTCTGAAGGGCTGCCCAGCCCTTGGGGGATCAGCCTCTCCTCCCACACTGGTGTCATGAAACAGGTTGAGAGCAATGGTACAATGGGATGGTCAGAGAGCAAAATTTCTCCACTGACTCTTGGAAACTTAAGAAGGAAACTGCAGCAGCTGAAGTTGAGCGAGTGCAGCTAGCTGAAACGAGAATTAAATAAAAGAAGCAATCAGATGAAATAGATGTTCAACAGCAAACTCAGGCCAGGAAGAAGACTGAAAATGAACTATGAAAGGATCTCGTGTAAAACAGGGTGCAAACATTTGCTCATGTTCAGGATTTTTTAAGGAAGGTATTGCAGCTGTGTCACAACCCGTCACTTATTTGTCTGCTCTCTTCTCCTACTGAGAGCACACAGAAAAAACATCTTGTGGGCACCACTTGATGACAAAACAAACCACCCCATCCAGATTGGACACATCAAACAAACAAAATGGAGAGAGCATACTTTTTTCATCAGGAAGATGTAGAAGATATAGAAGAACATATTGGAGGAAACATTTCTCAAGGAAGAAATCATTTATTCATTTTTGCTAGTGTTCCTCTTATCTGAGTTTATTACTTTTTTTTTTCTGGAATAGTGATTATATATAAAGCCTCTGTAAATGTTTAAAGCCTTTCTGATAATAATACTGATGACATGGAAACAAGCAACATGGACAGGGACAGGAAAATCAGAGCTAAGAAAAAAAAAGAAGCTTCCTAGAGGATGCTCAAAATGTCCTAAAAATTTTGATTTATAGTATTTCCACTTTTTGTTAATTTTGAGCCTTCATTGATGTTGCGTCAATTTCAGTGGAAACAGAATCATGATCTATAGGGAAATTTAGATACACCTTCAGTAAGACCTCAGCAGTACTGATTCTGAACCCAATGATGTATTAAAAAGGTAAGCCATGTTGGAAGAGATTATTTACCTTCTACATTAATGTATTAAGGTTTTACATTTCATTTTATCAACATATCATCAGCACTATGTTATCACCATATTATTCAGTCACCCAGTTTGACTTGATCCTTTGGGAAATCTTGCTATTCTGTGAGGGTTTCTTTAGTCTAAGGAATTTTCTGTTATCAGCAACATTCACCAACACATCCACCAAATCAATAATAAATATACTGCAGAATGTCAGGCCTGATGTTGTTACCTGGGGCAGGCACTACTAACTGCTTCCCACTCGCAGAAAATTTATCTGCAGTTTCCAGGAAAGTGTGTCTTTTAAAGCAAGTCTCCTGCCTGGTGTGTCATATTGAGATAACTCAATGCAAGTCACATAATTACATCATGTAACTTCATATCACTGGACATGGCTGAGGCAACCTAACATAAAATATCACAGTATAAAGCATCAGCTGGAAAATTTAAACATTGCTTTTTCTTTTTTTCCCCAAAAGGAATGGAAGGGAAAAAAGCCCCCACAATATTTTTTCAACCCTAGTCTTTGAAGGGAAAAAAATATATAACTTGTCCAAAGTATTGATTTTTATATATGTAACTAACACACCAATTTGACAGTGTCTTTGCTAAAACCTGAATCTAAGAGCTTCTTGGGAAATGGCCTGTTGTCATGATCAGAGTCAGACCTCAACAACCTGTCAGGACATTTTAAAAGAGTAGATGTGCATGACTGCATCTGATTAAAGCTGGGCATGAGCTACTGTACCTATGTACAAGGCTGCTGCCTTGTGTTCTAGTATATATGAAGTTCCCTGTGCAATTAATTTCTTAAGAAATGAGTTAAAACAGATTTCAATGTTTCTTTAAAACAGACATTTTGGTAGCTACATTGACTTGTATCATGGTAAAATCAGTAATGATATTCTGATGCAATGAATGTCACCTTTTAATTCTCTTGACTGTAGTTCCCTCCCTATCTAAAGGATACGAACTACAGGATTTTCATATATTATGGCCCACCTACAGTTCTCCTCTTTGCAGTCTATTTAGTTTGCTTAACTACAAGGTTATCCTTGTGCTAAGTTTTCAGAAGATCCAAAAAAATAAGCTAATTTATTTTCAGCTATTTACAAAACAATTAATTCAGCATTTGGATGAGAAACTAATTAAATGGAGGCAAGGAATATTGTCACTGTGCAGAGAAAGGTGACACAGAAGTGAAGCTGAGATTGATATAAGTTGAAACAATGAAATGTGACTACAAAGAAAGTTTATAATAATAACCACGTGAGCCATGAGCTGCCATGAACACTCCCACATGGGCAGCTGGCAAATGGGGTTGACTGCCACAGTTAGTTGTCAAGGCACATTGATGTGGGTTATCAGAACTGACAAGGAACACCAAGAGCAAGAGGAAAGTCAAGACAAAGTACGTTTATAGTACATGCAGAGGTATATTCAGATAAGGACACCAGGGAAAAAGTGAATAAGAAGAGCTCCAGGAGCTGAAAGCTCTGTTTAAAACTGAAGGGAACAGACCCACTCATTTGGTCAATGACCTCATGTTGGTTATAGCAATGGAAGTAGTTCTCTAATTAGTTTGAAAATAATACCATTGCTTCTTTTTTATCTATTTCAAAATAATATGATAAAATATGATTGGACCTCTTCAATACAATATTTCTTGAATATAGATAAACAAAAGGCAATCAGAGGCTTCAAGTCAGGCCTGTTCTGCCTCGAGCAGGGACAGCTGAGAGGGGCCCTCCCCAGGGGGTGTCAGGGGCTGCAGGGAGGGGGCAGAGGCTGGAGCAGGCTCTGCTCGGGGGGCCCAGCAATGGCCCAGGAGGAACGGGCAGGAACTGATGCCCAGGAAGTTCCCCCTGGACAGGAGGAAGAACTTCTTTGCTGGGCAGTGACCCAGCCCTGAACAGGCTGCCCAGGGCGGGGGTGGAGTGTCCTCCCTGGGGATATTCCAGAGCCCTCTGGACACAATCCTGTGCCATGTGCTCTGGGATGGCCCTGCTGGAGCAGGGAGGTGGGACCAGTGACCCACCATGGTCCCTTCCAGGCTGAACTAGTCTGGGATTCTGTGATCAATGTGCGATCTGCTCCTATTTTGGTTAGTGAGTGACAAGTGGGGGTGAGTAGAGGAGGCCACATGACAGGATCAGAAAGTCAGTCTGCAGGCATAGGAAAGAAATCTGATGGTGGTGTGAAGATAGGAGGGTGGATGACAAGA